CGTGAGCGAACCTCTTCCAAGTACGCGGGCGCCTACTTCAACCTGCCTTTCTTCATGAAAGACGGCTGCGTCGAGCGAGCCATTGTGTCAGCCGGCGGGCCCAAGCTCTCATGCGAGTTCACCGGCTACGACATTGGCGTCGCATTCCTCCCGGCCAAGAAGCGGTCCACCCCGGAGGAGATGGCGGACGACTTGCCGGAGCTACGTCGACGACAGTACGTCAGCGATACGCCTAGCCTGCCCAGTCGATCAACAACACAGAGCACGACGTACTCGCAAGAGCCGACTTACTCGCCTGAGCCATGGGGTCCTGGGGACACAGTCACTTTCACGACCACCATTGAGTCCGTGACTAAGTCGACGTACACGACGGAGGTTGTGCTGGCTTCTATGGGATCATCTTCGTCATCCTCGGCTACTTCCTCCCTAGCGTCATTGACTTCCAGCAGCACGACATCATCCTCAAGCTCTGCAGCACCCTCCGCTTCAACAAACCCCTCAGCCGACGGCCGCTGCGGTGCCGACTTTGGAGGAACAACCTGCGCTGGCTCCGGGTATGGCGGCTGCTGTTCAGAGTATGGCTACTGCGGCGATACAACGGCGCACTGCAGTACAGGCTGCCAGTCGGCATTTGGTTCATGTACTGAGTCAGGGCCGGTGGTGTCGACGGATGGCACATGTAGTTCGACCAGTGATCCCGAGGGCGCAACCTGTCTTGGGTCCGCTTTCGGCGATTGTTGCTCAGAGTGGGGTTACTGTGGAAGCACGAATGCTTACTGCGGAACGGGATGTCAGCTGGCATTTGGTTCCTGCACGGAATAACAGTTTGAAGTATACATGGATAGTCGGCGTGGGATAATATCAACATAGCACATAATGTCAAAAAGAAATTCAATAGTTGTTCATTTTGGTATCGTCGTGTTCCTACCTTAATCTGGTCCTATCCCTCGGTTTCAGCTCGAAGTTGAATTCTTTGGAAGACTCCGAGAGGCTCCATCTTGTAAACAGCTGTCCATTCTCCATCAAAATATGCCGCAGCATTTCACTCCGATCCTGTTCAGAGGCAGGCCATCCGTCATTTTTGCGCACGTATGGCTCCATGATCATCAGCGCCTCTCGAATCCACTGCTCGACCCTGATCTCGTCAATTCTTCCACTAACAACCATGCGCTGCTTCACCTCGTCCACCTGCTCTGGCTTTTCAGCACCTGAAGCAGCACCCATCAATCCAAGGAGAATGTGCGACCGCATCCCATAGTCCAAATCTCTCATATCGACGCCCTCCGTTTCCTTCACCGCAACAGCCGCGAGGAAAGCAACCTCCTCCTCGCTCCCCACCTCCGGCTCCCATCCCCGGCTTCGCGCCATCACACCAGCCCCGCCATCGGGCAACCCGCACCAGGTAACCTCACTCTCGCGCGTGCCATCCAGGTCCGGCTCAAGGCGCGGTGCGTCGACGGCCTCCCATCGTTCTCGTGAGTAATGTGCTTCCCAAGCCCACACGTCGAAGGCTCCCTGTGCAACAGAGATACCGAAGTCATTGGAGTTCCACGCCTCCTTTGACGGCTCGCGGGGAGAGTCTATTTTCATGTACTTGAGCCAGAAGCGAGCCTGGGTCTCTGAGTACGGCTGGACGCTGGAATAGTCCTCTCGCAAGCGTGCAATGGTCTTCTCGAGGGTGTCGAGGGCTATCTGAGTGACGGTCTCGATGGGGAGGGATGGCTGTCGTCGACAGGTGCGCACAACGTTGTGTGCCCAGCGAGGAAGCTTTGTCAGGTGACCTTTCCCTTTGTGGCGTGGCTGCGCGAGCGGGTCGCTTGAGTCGGGGAGATCTTGCAAGTCGGGAAGACGGTAGAAACGATGTGAGGTTGGCTGTGCAAGGATAGCAGACGAGTAGTACTCTCGCCACGCATCCTCCTTTAGTAGCTCGTGATGCTCGACGTAGAATTCGTCAAAGTCATCTGGCGACGCAAATATACCCTCGTCCTCATCCGAGGAGCGGTACATTGCGGCCACGAGTTGAGCGAGATAGAAGAGGTCCAGAGTGCTTGTCATTGTCAGCTCATTACTTCTCACCCTAATAGCTCCTTCTATGCAAGAATCTTACCGATTGAATTTTAGGTCTCCCTCGCCAAACGACCAACCACGTTTGTGAAGTCGATCAACAATATCAAAAACGCCTCTGCCATCCCACACCGATTCGTCCAAGTATATGAATGCTATTCGCAACAGTCGATCATGGCTGTCGACTGGCGTCTCGCCACTCTCGACACTCTCGCGGAATTCGTCGGCACTCATAGCTCACGATTCTCATCACGCCACCTTGTATGCTTGAGGTGTGAATGTGATCGATTCTAGGCAGCGATCTAATCACTGCGGGGGTTAGGAGCTGCATTACGACCCGCCTTACGTAAGTTCGCGCCAGGCTCAGAAGTGGACAACCCATGTCGATTTTTCTCCCTTTGAACCATCGACAGTTCTGACAGAGTCTCTATCAGTGTCACGATGGACTTCAATCATTTGATTTCAAGTCTCGCAAGAGAGAGCGAACTTATTTTCCCTAAGAAGATCTATTGTGGGCATAAATCTGTACTCAACTAAGTCGGGGTATCACTGTTCCTCTCGTCTGATACTCACGTATAACACAGTGACGTGCCAGAGAAACCTTTGCTCACAACTCGTATCTGAACTCTTTGTTCTCGAGATCCGTCAAGTCCCAGAATTCGTGATTTTCTTCCACCTTGTAAGCATCCCCGAGAGCCGCCTTCTCAGCATCGCGCTTCTTGTTCCTCCTGTCCAGCACCCACCGCATCACGAACAGGTCGACAGTAACCAAGAAGTAGATGATGCAGATGGAGATTTTGGCAGGGAGATACCGCGGCGCATCCCGTGCCTGAAAAGTCTGCGGCGAGATAATATTACCCACGGTGTACGCGATCGTCCCAATGCATGCCACCGTAACCTTCTTAGTGGATCCCGCAACATTGGTTGACTGAAGACCCAGGATCGTCGTCCAGCCGATCGGGATACCTCCTGAAGTGTAGTAGCCGATCAGCGCGGGAACCTTCGACGTCGTGGCCATGAGAATGGCACCCACGATCGCGGGGATGTGGCCCGCAATGCACCAGTAGAGTCTCTGCCGTGTCTTCATGGCAAGCCATGTCAGACCCACCAGGGCGACAATCTCGTAGGCGCCAAGAGGTGTGACCAGAAGCAATGACTCTTCGCTGGAGTAACCCATACCCTTGACGAGGATGTTTCCGAAGCTTGTCGCGATTGAATTGGGAATGTTGGCGGCGAAGATCCAGAATGCGTAGAGCCAAGTCATGGTGTCCGTCAGTGCCTCCTTGACATGCGACCACTTGAACTCCTGAGATCCGATTCCTTGTTCGTTGTCGCGGATGCGTTCCAAGTGCGCGGCCTTCTCTTCTTGCGAAAGGAAGGCAGCTGAGGCTGGCGAGTCAGGCATGATGAACCAGAAGGCAATGCCCACGACGGCAGTCAAAAGTCCAAGAAAGAGGAAAATGACCTGCCATCCATGCAAAAGAGCATTTGGGTCTTTGCCAACATGGACCGCCACGCCATACGCAAAGAAGCCACCAAACATTTGCGCCGCTCCGCAGACTGAGAACCAGATGCCAACGCGAAAAGCTTGTTCTTGTTTGGTGTACCATTGCGAGGTAAAGAGGACCCACGCAGGTACCACGGCAGCTTCAAACACTCCGAGGAGGAAGCGACAGACGAGCAGGGCGGCGTAACTCTTGCACGCAGCAAGGCACGCGAGAACCAGACCCCAAAGCATGATGTTGATTGATGTGTATTTGGCCAGAGGAAACATCTGAATGAGACGGATCGTCGGGAACTCGAAAGCCAATTGACCGAAGAAGAAGATGGATGCGACCCAGTTAAACTGGTTGCCGTGAAGGCCGGTGTCTTGTTGAATGCCAGTCACGCTGGCGTAGGAGATGGCGGTCTTGTCGATGTACTGCAGGAAGTACACAATGCAGATGAGCGGCATGATGTGAGTGTCTATGCGACGCTTGAGCCTGCGATTGAGCTCGGGATCGACGGCGTGGCCCAGAGGGCCGGTCTCGTTGAGAAGCTCCAGAGCGGCATCAGCGCCAGACAAAGGCTGCTTCTTCGGTAGGTGGTCCGGCGACGATTCCGTCGGAGCGGAGGTAATGGAGGCAGGCCGCTTGTCCGCGTCGGTGGGGAGCTCGGTATCGGGGCCATCCGCCGGCCCCTTTCCGTTGATGTCGGCCATGTTGTGACGGTGCCGAAGGTTCAAGGATACGAGACGGAAATCAAGAGAAGAGGTAAGATCGCAGACACGATCCAGAGTCATGTAGCGACGGACGATCACTATTTATCGGTCATGCAGGAAGCCCTGTTTGAGCACATCATCAACGCCGAGAGCGAACGATCGCGGTGGCTGGCGATATTTTCCAGAATGATGCGCCAAGGTGCCGAGATCAAGAGCTTTTTTCACTTGGAGCATCCACACATTTCCGATAAGAGACTGAAGCTCCGCTGGTGGCGGACGTATCAAGAGCTTGAATCTGGCCATTATCATCCTTCGGTCAAGCACGTCATTGTCGAGCCGATGGTGCAAGTTAACTAAAGCGTTGCATTTTGCTACTCGGCCCCACTCCCTCGGTCTGTCGCCGACATGTTCCGGACGATGGCCCCGGGTTCTTGAATCATGCGCAATTCACTGTCACGACTATCATCGAGACTTGGTAACGCTGTCAATGGGGAGCCTATATCATAAGTCGGGAAGTTCTTGCACATTTGCTCTCTTTATGAATTGAGGTTGACATTATCGTGAGCCTACTTCGTTCATGTCGCTTGGTAAACGGTCTTGTCTTTGCCAAACTTTGAGATACAGGTCTCAATTTCACGATAAAATTCAGCCTCAACATAAGATGATGGTATAACAAAAGAATGAGGTCTTTCTCTGTAGCCCGCCGATGAACAGAGAGCGAGCCAAACACGACGATCTAGCCCCGTCTCGGTGATAACTTAACCCACAGTCCCGGTTTCATCCAGTTATTGTACACCGTTAGCCCAGGATAGTCTGTCTCAGGATCCCACGCATCGTTGCTCCCGTGAAATTGGATGTCGTTGTGCCACAACAGCTTTGCAATGATTAGACGCATCTCCATGTACGACAGGCTTGACTTTGGTTAGCAAGAGACATCGATCAGAGGATTCAGAAGTCAGCGTACTTGCGTCCAATGCAGCCTCGTGGCCCGAGAGAGAAGGCATTCGATGCCCCAAACTTGTCGGTGCTATTCTCTTTGTCCAGCCAGCGCTCGGGCAGGAACTCGTAGGGCTCTTTGAAATTCCGTTCGCTATGCGTGGCACCCCACATTGGCACGGAAACAGTTGTCTACCAAACCGATGTCAGCGATAAGCTTACTAGGCAGATACCGATTTCCAGTGTAAACTCAAGCAATCACATACGCCTTCTGGTACGAACTCTCCGTCAACGGTATCGCCACCCTGTGGCACTGTCCTCACAAACCCGATCGGTGCAGATGGAAAGACTCGTAGGCCTTCATCAATCACTGCACTCAGATAAGGCAATTTGACCAAATCCTCGAAGTTAATGTCGGCGTCGGATTGGAAGTTCGACCGTATCTCATCCGACAACTTGTGTAAAACTCCTGGATGCCGCAGGAGTTGGTTGAAAAGCCCCGCAAGAAAGCCCGCTGTTGTCTCTGTTCCGGCTATTCTGCGATGTTATAAGTCGTCGTCGTCTCGGCACTAGGCGCGTCTTGGTTTATGCAATCAAATACTTACATAAAGAGTGCGCCATTGACAATAACCTCATTCTCGTTGATAGACCCACTTTCCTGTTGCTTGAGCAAGTAATAAAGAAAGTCTTTGTGGTCTGACCCAGACTGAGCCATGCGTCTAACAGAGAAGCGATCAGCAGTCTGTTGTTGAATGTTCAAGGACATACACCTACTTCAAGATCTTTTCCCTGCTGTACTCTAGATGTTGCATCCTAGTAGTTCGGATGCGCCCAGGTATCAACTTCAACAGCTGTCTTTGCAAGTAGCCGTCCGCTTCGGCGATTCGTCTCGTAGCCTGTTCAAAGGCACCCGCCTTAATGGATGAACTGATGAGCGGTACCCAAAAGTGGAAGTCCTCTACCCCACGTATTATTAGATGCAAGTCATATGAAATGGCCTTGGTCGTTTCAGGACCCACCGCTTGTCGAGCACCCAAATGGCTCTCCTAAAGCCATGTCTCCGATAATATCAAACGTTGTGTATGCGAACCAATCAACGACGTTCACAGGCTTCCCGAGCTTGGCAAACTCCCTCATCTTCAGCGAGAACATGTCGATGTACGACTTTACGATGTACTCCTGCTCCAACAAAGCCTTGGTGGAGAATGCATGCGAAAGCGCCCTACGCTGCCGCGCGTGGTCCGCGTCGTTGGCCATGGTAATCGTGGATACACCAGGCACCGATTGGATACTTCCCACATGTATGGGGTCCTTGTGGAAATTCTTATGGCCAGGTCGGCTTCCGTAAATATCCTTCCATGCTGCCTCATTGTCGAAAGACAGCTCGTTGGGCGAGACGCGGACGACTGAGCCGTATTTGTCATGGCATGCCTTCACCCAGAACGGGATGCGTCCACGGAGCAGCGTAATGACATACGGTACTGGTGATATTCGAGCAAGAATGGGTCCTGGAAAGCGTGCGAGTGGGTGGAAGAATAGGTTGTAGACGACGCTCCACAGCGTCCATGCCGAAGCCTGGGGTCGGAAGTCAGCATGAGACTCGGATTTATGGCAAATCACGGACTTTACTTACTCCAAGGATGAGCGCAATGAATGCTACATGCCCTAGCGGAGTGTCGGCAGTGTTATCTGAGGCTAACACAGCCATCGTGGACGAACTCAGAGGCGGCGTCTCTTGCAGGATTTAGGAGAACGCAAGAATGGAACTTAATAAGATACGGCTTCGAAGATTAGCATCACAATAGGAATTATTTCATTGATTCTCTCTGAATGAGGCTTTCTTGGTATTTCTATAGCAATAGATTATTTCCTTCGCGTCTGCATACCCGGAACAAGTGCTTCAGCGCCACAAGCCAACTCTCTCGGTAAAGCTTTTCCTCACCTTGATTCCATGAACATCAGCCACACCGAGAATCCGTTCGAGCGACATTCCGCTACGCCTCCAACTTATTTCTCCAAGCCTGAAACCAATCCCGGCACATCATTGGCCCAAATGCATAGCTTCGGCGTATAACCCGTATTTCCGGCCAGCACGCCCTAGGGCGGGGCGGATCCGATCGTTGTGGGGCATTATTTTCGCCGAAACTTCGGAAAGTTCTCCACTTCCGGCTGGACGGTTCGGCTCCGGTTGGCCCGAAGCTTACTTCCCAGCCCCGCCGGTGCGGGGATCGTCGGGAGCGAGTCTGGTGACGTTCAAGATAAGACGAATTTATCGTGAGATCGATGAACTATTAAATACATTGTGTTCAACCCTGATGGCCTGTTGTCTCTTCAGGCTTCTTCATCTCACAGCAACATGGTGTCAACATTGAGCATTTCTTGCCTGTGCGGGGCAACTGCGCAACAAGTCAAGGCGCGAGGTTCAGACACAGGCCCCGTGAAGCTGTCAATCAACCACAGCGATGTTGATCGCCACTCCAGCGGTGTGCTTTGCACGTCTTACTACCCGATTGAGCAACCCGATATCTCCAAGGGTCTCACAAAGCACGAAGGTGCGGAGGGATGGACGAGGTACTTCTGCTCGACCTGCGGTTGCCACGTCTTTCGAAGCCGTGTTGGTGTCATAGCTGTCATATGGGAAGCTGCTACGGGTGTCATCAACGATGCCACCGGGAACGGTGCCACCGGAGATGCGGTCTTTGTCCGGCATACCTCAGTGCCCGACACAAAAGACGGTGGCATTTCGGTGTGGCTTTCGGAGATCGACGGTCAAACAATGGAGATACTACAGCACAACGGCGATAACGGCTCGAAAGAGATGCTGCCGTCAGTGCCTTCCCTTCTCAGCCCAGAATCGATGCCAGCCTCATGCGCTTGTGGCACGGTTAGCTTCCACATCACCCGCCCCGACGAAAAGAGCTATATTCCTCACTCCGGCTACCCCGACCTGCAATACGCCGCCTGCTCGCACTCTGCCGAGTTCATGGGCAACGCCAAGAAGGACAAGTGGTGGATTCGCGCCGACGGGACGAAATACCTCGCAGGAACCTGCGCATGCCGCTCCTGCCGCCTCATCACCGGCTTCGAAATCCAGACGTGGGCCTTTGTCCCGCGCAGCAACATCTTCTTCCATGTCCCCAGCCCCGACGGACGACAAGTCGTCATGCCTCTCGACTTCAACGCGCTCCCTCCCGGCATCCTCCAAACGTACGGCTCCTCCCCCGGTGTCCTTCGCGAGTTCTGTGGGAAATGCGGTGCGACGGTCTTTTGGCACGACAAATGGCGTCCCGACGTCATCGACATCAGCGTCGGCCTCTTTCGCGCGAAAGAAGGCGCAAGGGCGGAGACATGGTTGGACTGGTGGACCGAGCGGTGCAGCTTCGAGGAGGAGGCTGAAAGGGGTCGAACAGGAGAAGCCGCGCGCCTCGCACGAAGGCTTGTCGACGGTCTGGAACGTGGCCTGCGCTCAGGGGCAGGGGAAAGTTGAAGGGAGAAGAAAAAAAAGGAAACAAGTGATATTTGTAAAACAAGTCCCAAGAGCCGATGATTTAATCGGTAACAAAGGTCTGCAATGCCATTTCTTCAAGATCCAAGAATTCCTCAATGACAAATCGTGGCTATGTGTGTCTTGGCAAACGTCTATTTACGGGCAAAAGATGCGATTATCAATATCAATGAGAATAAGGCTGGAAATATGCCCCCTGAAAAGCGTGGGCCAAGGGACTGGGTGGCGGCGAGTCATCCCATGTGCAACTCTGCCCTGTTTTAGAATGATTATAGCCGCTATTCAATTCGGATGAAACATGTTGGTTGTTATTATTAAGATAGAAGACAGAAACGACGTTAGTTGCATTGTTTAAGGGGCTGCGGCCCGCTTTGTTGGTTTCCACCAGCCACATGACTCGGGACAGGTGGGATCCAGCGTCGGCCTGCCCAGCGCCCCGGGCCGGTGGACGACGGACGGACGGACGGACTCTCCTTTGGTGTGTTTTATCGGCTCCGGGGCGATGTGGGGCCTGGGGTATTGCGGTGGGCAGTCGGAGCTATGGATTCTCAACATGCTCTAGGCAGTCGGTGATTTTGGTACGGAAGAGACGGCACCGGCAGTTGGTGCTGCGGTGATTTCGTAAAGCTGAGCTCAGCTTTAAGCTGTCGCGCTAGTCTCGCTTGGCAAGCTGAGTGAGAGAAGCGCGCGGGACGCAGCCGAACCCCGCAATCCATTTACTAACTGCCTAGACTATCTGCGTCTTGCATGGAAGAGTAAAGAAAGGTGGGTTGATTGCGCTAGTTGAAGAAGGATGAACGAAGTTGTAAGGAGTTCGGAGAGAGCCTTGCTTTTGCATCCACGTGGGGGGCTTTGAGGATGACATTGAGAGTTGGAGAATAGACAGAACGCTGATAATTCAGACATGATCAAGATAACAGCAAAAGAGCACTGCACTAGGAAGCATGAAGGAAAGAGTGAGAATGGAATAGTCGGTTTGTTGACACCTAGTCCCGTCTTACCAAGAATATCTGAAAATAACAATTTGGCTAATATGTGTCTGCATCTGCATTGCCACTTTAGCTTACACCAAGGAGGTCACGCTTCCAAGCTGATTCCAAACCATTTACTATGACAAATGCATACGCTGCGATTGGTTTCTTGAAAAGAGCAGAACAAAGGCTCTTCCTTCGAAGCGGAATGGTGTGGCTTAAAGCCTCGGCGGAATCTTACACGTGCGTGAGACCTGCATCCATTGCTTTCCGAACTGACAAACTGACATGTTGATATGAGCAGATGCGACAAGTCTCCAGTTTCGTAGGCTACCTTGATTCCAACGCTAACGACTAACCGGTTTCTGCGCCCCAATGCCGGTAATTGGCTGCGCCAACGGCATTCCAACGGCGCGGCCGCCCACCGGCTAGAGGCGACTCCTGAACGAGGCTTACAACGGTAGCCAATGGGAAATTTCTCATGACACCACAAACATCCGTTTGGGGAAATAGGGATGAATGAACACTAAGACCAATCCAAAACCGTTTTGAATGCCCAATCCTCTGACTCGCTAGGTGGTTTTAGTTCGCGACAGTCTCGGACTGGACAGTGAATACTCACTCAACAATGAATGAGGGGATAGAAGTTCAACAAACTTGATCTGAGGCGTTGCAACAATGCAAACTGGACGGTTCAACTGACTAGTGCAGCGGTTGTGTTGATAAGAATAATATCACGTGTCGTAAAGCCATGAGAATCTCGATGCAGTGCAGCTGAAACCGTACACCTCTTCTCATAGCCTTTGGGCTGCGACTCACCGCAAGTATCACGAACTCATACACGAACTCATGTTCAGAGTCCAACGGTGCATGCTTACCGTCTCACTTCACAACGCTGCGGTCGTCGTTTCATGGCCGTCTTGATGGAATGTGTGCCCCCCAAGTCACGGCCCTCACATCACGGACCAGACGCTCCTCGGAACCCGCCCAACATCCCCGTCGGGGTCCGAGACGGATGCGGACGCGACCGGTTCATGTCAACGAACGGCTTGCCCCTTCCGATCCAAACTGTATCTCGCGCGACCGCATGAAAGAGCAAATATCATCCCCGGAGGCATTGTACTTCCAGAGTACCATAGCGCTACCCCCTCGGTTCCAGACTATCAACACAGAGTTTCGGAGCCGAAATAAAGTACACGAGAACGAATAACGCTATGCAACCTACCAAACCCGTCACATGGAGGCAACCACCTTAACCGGATCAAGCTCAGCCCGCCTCGGTTGCCTGCAAGTCAGAACCGCGATTCTGTGCCTGCCCTCTCAAAGTCAATTGCCATAGTGGTGGCTTGATTCATTTCCGTCGGAGAGCACGGCATGCAACAGCTGGAAGCGGCCAGTAGGATTGTTATGGTTTATAATCGGGTGTCGTCTGAAGGTTTGCGTTAACGATAGTGAAAGAGGGGCGGGCCTGTATGATTCATCATTGGGTAAGTTTGGGCATGTGAGGGTGTGAGATGAAATGGCGAAATTGGCCCAAACGCTGGATTGAAATTTCTCCCCTCACGCGCATTGCACCAGAATCCCATGCTTTGCAACACAGCAGAAAGTCTGCCATCAACACCGGACCATCCACGCGCACCCACGCCGCCAGAGAAGTTGAGACTTGGGGGGCGCTTGTCTGTCAACCATCTGTTGACGGGCATGCCCAGGGCAACGACGGGCGGCTCCAACGAACAAATTCGGACATATTTCCCGTCGTTGGCGTTGGGACTTGGTGAATGTTTAGATGCCGAGACCAAGATGGTCCGATGCCAATAGGAACATCGGCAAGTGGGTTGGTCTGGTGTCGGCCGAGACCACATCACCCACGTTGGCCCAAGATGACGGTCGCAGGGATGCACGTTGCATATTCCAAAAATTCAACTTGCCCAGAGAAATAGTGCTGCGCGACGCAGAGCAAAGCCAGGCGGCAACACGCAAGCAGAGTAGCACACACATGCGCTTCGCAAGTCATCACATCCCGTCGCCAGCCAGTCACCGACGTCAGATTTGCAGTCGTGCAGCGTTTCTGAGCTGACCTTATTTGCGTCCACCAGCAGGGGACAGCGCAAGTGACAAGTCTGCATGTGATGAGCAGCCACCTTGCCAAGGCTCTTGGCGGGCTATAGCTGTCGTGGCTGTACGGACTATTACTCGCGGCGGGCTATGTACTCTGTATCTTGCGCTCTTTTG